AGTGGTGTCACGGAGTCACCATGATTGAGGTGATGTCGCATTTTGGGCCATGAGATTGGTGGGTGGGTGATATCGCAGCTGAATCAGAATGGCGTCCTCGACCCCAACTCAATCGGTGCTCCTCGGAAGTTTTCTTTGCAGGTTTCATCCCGGTCTAGTGATTCGAATCCCGCGAGCGATGGCGGAAACTTCTCCGCAGCATATTGAAGTCCGGGGTAACGGACCGTCTCCGAAAACCGGAGCGATATTACCCACTCTTCCTTGCATCCTCTTCTGCATCCGGACGAGCATATGCATCTTCGCGTGCTGGCATGGCTTTGCGGAGCGTCGTACTCTCAGGAATTAAGAATCTGGCTGTGATTAAATGCCGTATTCGTTGGTTCTTGTATTGCTGTGCGACCGGCGGGGCGACGCATGCGATGCTGTTTCTGTCCACGCCGCCTGTTCGTACACGGAGAGGGACTTCTACGGCAGCATCTACAGTGACAAGGCGGCCTCCTAATGCTTCGTAACTTGGGGGACGAACTACAGTTAGCGAAAGAGTACCCATCAAAGTTAAGAAGTTCCTACAAATGATCTTCAACGTTCCATAGGTGGGTGAGATCGCCCTAGGGCGCGCGTGGCAATCTATCTCGGTTGAGACCTCCGAAAGATCGGAGCGCCTCATGGCGGCACGGTCCGCGGTAACGGTTCACCTCGATAAAGCTGCAGCACCCTTGACCCGCTGCCGCTAGACAGGGAATGATGCAGCACTTTATGCAGTTGACCGGATGATGTGGTTCAGATTGGTGGGAGGGTTGGGGAGAAACCGGGGCATTGATAGCAGCATTCTTAACCCAGGAGGTCGACAGATGCGAATCTCCCTTATCTGAAAGTCAATCCCAGAGTGACAATTTTGCGGGCCCTAGACGTCATCGTAGTATGAGGTGCCTTTACAGGAATCTGCATATTATTTAGGGGAGAACCGCGACTTCTTAATGGGAAAACGCGACATGTTAGGCACGGGACATACAGCATCGGGTTCCCTTCATCCTCGAACGCAGCCGGTTCTCAGACCAATTCGCGATATTTCAGCGAACAGCATTGGCCATAGGTCTTGATCTCATCTTCGGATAATTGCTGTAGTATCGCTTCCATCAGTTTCACGCATGATTCTCGCTTGTGTGACTCCCGTGGCACGGTGTCCAAATAACCACAGCTATCATCGCAGGCGGTACGAGTTCGGCTTTGTCATCCATGCTACGAGTTTCCGAACCCCCACTGACTTTATTGAAGTTGTCGGGCGAGACTTTTGTCTCGGTTAAAAGCGCCTGGCGCTTGTCGACGGCTCACTGGCGCTATCACGCGATGTTGGCTATTATGACTTCATGGAGCCGAGACATCATATCGGGAAGGACCCAAGAAATGGGAGTAATCGCCTTTCCCATCTCGTCCATTCGTCCGTGAACGACAGTATCGCACAACGCAACTTCGAGGCGATGTCAGGCGAGACTTTTCAGCTGGTGTTCAGTAGGATGCTGATCGGTCGAATCATCAACCATGAGCCCGCAAATTCTGACTTTAGAGCATTTACCCCTGGAGTTTGCGTGGGGTGAGGATTGGTTTCCTGGTGAAAGATGCAGCCTGGAACTCGGTTGCAGCCGATAGTGGTGTGCCAAAGTTCTCAGTGACATCCCGTAGGCCATGCAATTAACCTTGAGGCATCTGACCGATGCCTGCGTACTGGGTGATATTTGTCACGTCAGTTACATATGACTTAGAATTCCAGAGTGAAATCTCTGTGTATCGTTGTACTGCTGAAGCACTCAAGGTAGATTCCATAAGGGTACGGTGAGACAGCCATTACTTCCCGTCACTCAACAAGTCCTGAGGCTTTGCTCAAGACGGTGGGAAACTCCCCGGGACACTCATGAGATACTATTGTTTGACGGTTATGCGATGATATGGAAAACAAAAACCTTGTAGGCCGAGCTGCAAACGCTTCAGATCGAGCGATCGTGGGTGTGAATGGCCAGAAAGAGTGCGTTCACCTTGCACACCAGGTTTCCTCCGAGCCAGCTAGGCCTTCTTGAGGCCAAGAGAAGCTATTGATGGCTGAGTGAACGAACTTTTGATGGCCTTGGCAACTTGCGCCCGACCAATCGAGACATGTCACATCGCCGCGGGCAAGGCATGTGAAGATGGCTTGGGGGTCAACTGCAGGACCAAGATGAACGGGATCCTTGGGAAGCGAGGCACGTCTCACCACGCTTCTTTCGTACCGAGAACACGAAGAACAGGAAGTTCTTACTGCTTATGCTTGACTCTTGGCAGTAACATCTTACCAGCAAGAGGAATGTCGTTGTTGTGTCCCGCCAGAGTCACACAGGTTGTCCCCAACGCCCCCCGGATTTAATTGGGTCCCAGCTAAAATTTTCCCACTTCGACATCTTCACCTCTGATCGCGTCATCGGTGCTGTGGACCACAAACAGAAACTATGACACAGAACTTCTCGCACCAGACCACTGGGACAAGACACCCTGGTGTCACTCCCCTGACTGCGCTTGACTTTGCCTGGGGTGCTTTGGGGGTCCTGACAGTTGCTGCAATTTCTGGGTCTAGGCGGCTCTTTAGAATCGCGCATACTTTCGGAACAACGCGGGCAGCCTCTCTTTTGCGGATCTCTTTGAGAGCCTGCAACGCTTTCTCTCACCCCTTGATCCCTGCAAAGATCCTTGGGACCCTCGAAGATTTTGGCTCGAACTTGCAATGCACCCTCCAAGAACTGCAGACGGCCATACATATCCTCTCGCCCCATGGCGCCAATTCGGTGTCTCTAAGACGTGATCCGCTTGGCGGGGTCCTCCTACGGGTGTCACCTCCAGACATAAAACCTTCTGGCAGCCCTCTAGTCTGACCCTGATGCTCGGATCCTCTTCCGTCTTCTGTCTCCAGTGCATCAACAACCCTCGGTTCTCTGGTCTTTCGCGTACTCAAGGACGGCCAAGATCAGAATCGCCAATATGTCCAAGCTCTTGAACAGGTTCAATGGCAGTGGCTCGTCCTCCGCCGAGGGCGGCAACAAAGATAGCGATCTCCCCGCCGCGCCCACCTATGACAGCGAAGTTGGTATGTCGTCGTCCGCCACTGGTGCTGCTGGCGCATTGGGACGTTGCTGACTCTTGAAGTACAGGCCGAATCGAGCATGCGCGTGAAGCCAAGCGACAAATTGGAGTCACCACTGCCATCTTCCTGATCGTCAACCGTGTTGTCGGTACCGGTATCTTCGCTACCCCCGGTTCCATCCTCAGCCTTTCTGGCAGTGTCGGCTTGTCGCTCTTTATCTGGGTCGCTGGAATGATTATCGCTCTCGCCGGAACTGCCGTCTACCTCGAATGGGGAACTGCCATCCCGAAGAACGGTGGTGAAAAGAACTACCTCGAATACGTCTACCGTCGTCCCAAGTTCCTGACCACTGGTCTGTACACTGGATATGTCATCCTCCTCGGTTGGGCCAGTGGTAACTCTGTCGTCTTCGGCGAGTACATCCTCCACGCGGCCAACGTTGAGGTTGACAGGTGGAACCAGCGCGGCATTGGTCTGGCATGCATCACCTCCGCCTTCTTAATCCACGGTCTTGCGCTCAAGTGGGGTCTGCGCCTGCAGAACCTCCTTGGTTCGATCAAGCTGATCATCATTCTGATCATCATTCTGTGTGGTTTCATTGCCCTTGGTGGTCATGTCAAGCTTCCCGAAGACCAGAAGCCTCACAACTTCCGCAATGCCTTCGAGGGCACCACTGGTAGCGCCTATGGAGTTGTGACAGCTTTGTACAACGTCATCTGGAGTTACATTGGATACAGCAACGCCAACTACGCCCTCAGCGAGACCAAGAACCCCGTTCGCACCCTCAAGATCGCCGCGCCCGCCGGTATCATCACCATCTCGATCCTTTACATGCTCGTCAACATTGCCTACTTCGCCGCTGTTCCCAAACAGGAGATTCTTGAGGGTGGACGTCTCGTCGCCGCCTCCCTCTTCCGCAACGTCATGGGTGGTACCGCAGAGCGTGCTCTCTCGGTTTTTGTCGCACTGTCTGCCTACGGCAACGTTCTCAGCGTTATCTTCTCTCAGGGTCGTCTGGTCCAAGAGCTCGGTCGCGAGGGCATTCTGCCTTTCTCTCGATTCTTTGCCAGCAACAAGCCCCTGAACGCTCCCTTGGCTGGTCTGTTTGAGCACTGGCTTATCTGCGTCATCACAATGCTTGCTCCTCCTCCAGGAGACGCCTACAACTTCATTCTCAACCTCATCAGCTGTAAGTTTATTCCCTTCATAACTTTAGTATCCAATCCTGAATTGACGCTAACCCTCCAACAGACCCCCTTGCTGTTATCAACGTTTTCGTCGCTGGAGGCCTGGCCTACCTTTACCTCAACCGCAAGGAGTGGAACTGGAACCCTCCCATCAGCGCCAGTCTGCCTGTCGTCGTCTTCTTCATGCTCAGCAACGTCTACCTCGTCATTGCCCCCTTTGTTCCTCCCGAGGAGGGCCAGAACGTCTACGAGAGCCTTCCCTACTACCTTCACTGCGTCGTCGGGATCGCCATCATCGTTGCTGGTGGTCTTTACTGGGTCGTATGGGCCAAGATCCTGCCAAAGATCGGCAAGTACGAGCTGGTGCGCGAGACTGTTGTTGATGAGATCGATGGCTGGGAAAGAAACGTCTTTTTCAAGAGACCTTTGGGAGAAACCATTACTTCTGCAAACAGGTCGACCCCCGAGCCTGAGGTGGCCAAGTAGCCGCAGTTTCGAAGTTGTGCTAGGTTTCCAGTCTCAGTTATAATGAGTCAGACGAGATACTCGAGTCTGTTCACGTAATCCTTTAATCGCATCCCTTGATATACCCTAGAAGCAAGATAGAAGAAATCTTAATGTTCAAAATTGCATTTGCATCTGCTTGACGTGCTACTATGTATATTTCAACCCATGCCCAAATCCGTTGCGGCATGTATGAACCGAGGCTAGATATGTCTCCTCATGACTGAGGTCTGCAGCACCAGCACTAATTCAATTGTTAGTTAGGAGGCACATGAACTTTGTCGCCAGTGAGTTGTGACTTACGCTTACGCTTGATGCGACGCCGCCTGCACTTGTAGCGATCCAGCAGTCCGCATCATTCTGACCAGAGCCTGCTGGACAAGGAAAGCCACCAGGTGAACCTTTGGCGTTACAGTCCTCGTTGCCAGCCTGTTGAATGGTCAGTTGACATGCCCAGGGTAATCCACATTGGGCTACTTACACAGCTCACAGTCTCCTGCTGACAGGTTACTGGCGTGATCTGGGCAAACGCCGGAACTGCAAGCAGAGAGACAAGAGCGATAATTCCTTGATGGAATTTCATATTGACAGAAGGTGTGTTGAGATTTGTTGCTAGGATCGGAGGATAAGATGGCCGAGGATTACCGCAGTACTTACAGTGTAGGCTAGGTGTGAAGATGAGCAGGCTCTTTTATGTTCCGATGAACGCAAATAGAGTTGAGACTGAAGATTGGCGTCGAAGCAATCAAAACTATTATCAGACGATTCATTTAGGTGTTTGCGGATCATCACATTATACACGCGACGTTTACTCGTCGGGGCCTTGGCCAAGTGTAAGTTTGACAATAGCCAAGGCCTCGAAGTGTTGGAGCCTATCTAGGGCGTGCACCTTAAAAGATACCACCTGTTTGTTCTGAATGCTTAGATGGGGCGACCGATGATGTAAAGAGATTTCATTGGGCTGAGGCAGAGAATAGACTCAGACGGGATGGTCAAAACATTAGACTGAGTCAGGTTTCTAGTGTAGCAATATAACTACCTTTTCACCCAGCCTCGGCCAAGACAATGCACGGAGGTGTTCCAATGTCAAATCGTATTATGCAGAATAGCGCATAGTTTCAGGTCTACAAATGCTCATATCAACTACGGTTTTCGCTGAGGATGGTAACAACGAGTTGCCTTCATCGTATTGTTGTAATTGACTACAACCCAAGCAGACGAAGTTTATCATGAACGAGTGATTTTAATGTCTTCCCAAACCCAAAATACAACAATGACTTGCCAATCTTAGGAACGGACAGTGACCTTCTTCAATGGCCAGCCGAGAATGCCCATAGACGAGCACAGCATGAAGGAGCCAACGAACAGAACCAATGATTCGTATCGCCCCATTCCATAACCCGAGCTGACAGGCTTAGTCAAGAGCCCAGCAGTGATGGGGCCAGTAGCAAGGTTGCCGATGCCCTTTGTGAACGCCATCATGCTGAACACAGGTGCTGGATCGTCGGAAAGGATGGCGCCAAACTTGGCCCAGAAGACGGGGAAACCGCCGGCGAACATGCCGAAGATGAGCGCGAACACAACGAGAAGCTCCAAGGAGTGAGCAAATCCCCAAATGGTGAACGCCGAGACCGACGATACAAACGAAGAGATGAAGATGAGAATGAGGATGTTAGGCGTTCTGTCCGACAGCCAGCCGAAACCGACCTGTCCGAACACGGTTGCCAAGTTGTAAACAGCCAGAAGCAAAGCGCCCATCGTTCCGGATAGCCCGATAGCAGAAGCGTATGAGGGGAGATAAAGTGATGGGATGTAATACGCGAACCCCTGGAACAAGTTCGAGAGAGCAAAGCAGTAGAAAAGAGGCTGCTTGAAGGAGCTCACGTCGAACATGCGCAGAGCACCGTGGTGCGAGGGCGGAAGGCGTCCCTTGATCATCGGCAGGACTGGGAGCACTAAGATGAACACCGCAACGGCGACTGATCTCAAAGTGGTGCGGAAGCCATACTTGGACAAGAGCACCTCAAGCAAGAACGGCAGACCGACACCACTGCATCCGGCGCCGGCAAAGAGGACGCCATAGGCAAAGCCGCGGCGGGCCACGAACCACTCGTTGAGCATGCGCAGAACGGGGAAATACAGCAGCAGAAAGCCGACACCGTACATGACGCCCTGCGTGGCGATAAGACCGACGACTGAGTCGCAGAAGGACGCCCCAACAAGGGATGCAACGCAGATAGCCCAGCCGACAACAACCATGTGTCTTTGCCAGGCGTGGAAGCGGCCAACCAATGGCACGGCAATAGGCGCTCCGAGGAAGTAGATACTTGTTGACACCGTGCCAATGACAGCGATGTTTGGGTTGCCTTCGAACTTGGGATGGGAATAATAATAGTCCTGAAAGACTCCAAACGTCAGGGGGAAACCTGTCAATGTTAGTCAAAGGCCGGTTGGTATGTAGGCTTAAGTGACAGTACCCCAGAGAACTGCCTCGACAATGAAACTCGCAAAGAGGAATTTCCATGCCTCCGCGCCCTTGTCACTAGGTGGGAGAGTCTGGATCAAGTTGTTGCCCTCTTCATCATCGGTAGGCGGCGCAGAGCGCATTGAGGGCGCGTCAGGCGTAGGTTGCAACTCGACAGACATCTTTGTTACACTGAGCAGATGCCTTGACTTTAGAGAACGAGATCAACGAAACAAAAGGAAAAATGCACCAACTTCATGATGTCTCCAGCTCATTAAAAGGAGTTTTGAGTTTTCCATGACTAAAGCAACAGTGTGCCCCCCAATCCGACGTCGGCCCCGCTTGCGGGGTTCTGACGTTAGACCGGTTGGATCCAAGACCCCAAGGGCGCGCAGAACACACCGCACCATACCTATCCTAGCGGCTTATCTGCAGGTCGTTTCAGTGGAACTGGGCGCTGGGAGTTACGAGGTCTAATAAGTATTAGACCTACTTACCACATAAAAACATCGTGACACACACGGGACAGGATCCGAGGTTTTCGCAATTTTCGCACCTGGGAAGCCCTTGCCGGGACTGCATCCGGGATCGCATGTTAGATGTTTGCCCCGAAAAGGGAAGGTAGCCAAACATTTCAAAAAATATTCTCGTGGAAGATGCCAAGACGTTTCTCTTCTTAGCAGTCCAGACTCTAGCTTCAAAAAGAGTGCCCTGCTCCAGCCTCAACGATTCCGCATTCGGCCACTGTGGGTGCTATTTGAAATACACGGTGCTGTTCTCTTGGGCTTCTTGGTTATCGTATTGCATCAAAAGTGCACATTCCGAACTGCAACGGGGATATCCCGCGTGGAGAACTTTCGCCTGCATAGATGTTGGAAAAACGTCCCTAGGAATGGCTTTTAGTCACTCTCTTCAACGCTGATTTGATCGCCTTAGCTTGTGTTGATTCAATAGAACAGCGATTGAAGTTTCCTGGAGGGATAGCCTGACATTCGTCAACATTAAGTGTTCGGTTAACCTAGTTGCATGATAGGAAACATGACTGGTGGGGGAAAGTTCCTGGAAAGCATATCCAACGATGAAAGTATGCGTACTCACAGACCGCGGAGCATCGTTGATAGCCTAACAAGAATATTGCTTAGACTTACTACGAATCACAAGCTATCGTACGGATGATTCGAGTTCTCATGTCTCTGCTATCAGCTACCTAACGTGTCCACGGGTGGGAAATGTCTTAGGAGTTACTATTGTCCTATTCAAACGAAACACACGGATTGCTGTTATTAGCCAGTCTAAACTGAACCAGCAATACAAAATTAGGCTTGTTGAAAACTACGACTCAAAATGAATCGAAGCTGGCAGGACGCAAATGCGTCGAATGGTATTTGCCAACTTGGCAGCGCCTCTGTGTCTCTTAATTCATTGACGTCAGGATATGCAGCTAATGATTATTGATTGGTCGCGCCCTTTTTTGAAAGATCATCGCGAGTTACTTTCGGGGAAGAGTCATTCGATGACTCTTCGATTTGCTGTCCGTATCACTGGCGGAAGCCCTATGGAAGAGATGTGTAAGCTTATGCAGGCTACCATGAACCTTGCTCTGCAGCGAGCGGCACTGAACATGTCACACCGCGCCCTTTCATCGGAAGAGCCCCGTAGAGAGGACACTATGTGCGTCTGCGCATCAACAACTCCGGACCGCGAGGAGTCTGGGCCGGTACCAAAGTCTTAAAACAACCCCGGCCGGGGCGGCATTTGGCCCTCGGACACTGGACTTTGTTTCACATCCCGTTTTCTCGGGAAAGCGCCTACGTCCGACGACTCATGTACGTTTCCTGTCGCAAGCCAATTGATCTCTTCGTCAAGGACACTCAAATTTCACGCATCGCAGCACCTGCTCGTCTCGAATTCCGATCAAGCTTCTCAAAATGACGCGAACTACGCAGCTGGAGGACTTCGTCGTCACTGATCGAGGCGGTATCGTCGAGAACCGACACGGTGTCCACGTCGCAGTGGTCGACGCCAATGGCAAGCTTATTTACGCTGTTGGCAACCCATCTCGATTGACTCTGGCTCGATCCGCAGCAAAGCCAGCTCAAGCACTTGCCGTGCTGGAAACGCCCGACTTTTCAAAATTCGGTTTCGACGAGGCCGATATTGCCTTAATGTGCGCTTCTCATAACAGTGAGAACAGGCACATTGTCAGAGCCAGATCTATGCTGGAGAAAGTCGGGGCTTCCGAATCCGACCTGCGTTGCAGTGGTCACCCTTCAATCTGCCCAAACGTCAATCGCAATTGGATCAGGGCCGACTTTGAGCCGACGGGGGTTTGCAACAACTGTTCTGGAAAGCATGCTGCCATGCTAGGCGGTGGTCTTGCTCTAGGTGCCGAGTTTGCCGATTACCATCTTCCCCAACACCCAATTCAACTCAAGGTAAAGAAAGTCGTGGAGGAACTAAGTGGCCTTTCTGAACAAGACGTTAAATGGGGCATTGACGGCTGCAATCTCCCTGCACCTGGATTGCCGCTTACTTCCATGGGCCGCATGTATGCGAGGTTCGCGGCGGCTGCTGACACAATTGGCAACGACGGATCATCCCCTTCTCAGCGAACAAGGCATATGGCTCGCATTTTCGACGCCATGGCCAATCATCCCGAAATGGTCGGTGGTGAAGGACGCTTCTGCACGCTGTTGATGGAATCCTTTGAGGGAGCCCTCATTGGTAAGGTGGGTGCAGATGGCTGTTATGGTGTTGGAATTCGGGAGTCGGAGTACACTAAGCAACTCGGAGCTAAGGGAGCTGTTGGCATAGCGGTCAAGATTGAGGACGGTAGCTTAGAGATCCTTTACGCAGTGGTTACCGAGATCCTTGAGCAGTTAGACATTGGTACGGAGGAGATGCGGCAGCAGCTGGCAGGTTTTCATCATCTTAAGAGACTCAACACTATGGGGGTCGAGACAGGACGAGTTTCTCTGGCCTTCCAGGTCAGAAAGGCCTGAAGACGAGGTATGTAGGCCTCGATGGTACACATAATACTGCCGAAAAGAGGTTCCAGAATTGTAAGGCCATCCTTTGATACTGCTCCAGATTCAAAGACAGTACCCTTCGATGTCTGCATAGCCATGGTCTTCAGATAGATTTTGCCATTTAGACGAACAGTGACGTTGCGAAAGATGATAGTTACGTACGTTAGGTACGATAGAACTGATGGAATGATGTGGTCAATGTGGTGCGCCGCTAGCCAGGGGTATCCGCTCAAACACTCGTTAAAATAGACGGGTTCAACTCGAGTCTGTTAAGTTACTGTTTTCGGCTCTTAGGAATGTACATCCGCGTGATATCTGAGACGTTCGGAAAGGTTGCTCCCTTGGTCTTCGACAAATCGCCGATCCACGAGACATGAGGAACGGGAACATTGAGTGGTAATCTGGATGGATGGAAGACTTCACGATTTCATCCGAGAAACACATTCAAGCTTGGATTGCTTGTAATCCGAGAAGATTCCAACTCTCCGGGCCTCCGGCACCGTCGACGGACCCCGACTAGTAAGCCCAAAAGAAAAGAATAATCGGCTGATGTGTTTTCGGCTCTAGCGAGCGCCACAGCCGCCAACAGATCACAGGATATTTTTCTTCCTTCCCCAGCCTCATGTTTAATAGTAGCTACGAAGTACATGCCAAGGAATCTGGACCTCGTCGGAATGTTGAGGACCATTTGGTCACAACTCCTTGCGGCCTCCCCCACTGTTTCTCCATATCGACGCCATGCAGATCAAATAAAGCTAGCCGCCGCCTGCCGGAGATAACTCCGGGTGGCCGAACTGGCGCTCGAATAGCCGCAGGTCCACCAAATCCAGTGATGTCAGCAAGATGCCGCAATGGCTGGAAGCCCCGATTGGCAAGGTACCCTTATCTGCCATGCACCTAACCATCTCAACTTCCCCGGCCCGAGTCTTCGCAACCTCCCCGACGCTCCACCAGTCGGGATGATTCGATCGACAGTCCGCCTCCATCATCGCCGCCCGTGATGATGAAGCCGCTCCGGCAGATACGCCCCCGCCCGAAGACGCCCGAGGACGCCGCGGCTGGCCCCCTGAATGCGAACCGGGTCGCCCGACGTTCGGCACGCCCGCGCAAAACCCCCAGCGCGTGCGATCCCTGTCGAAGGCGGAAGATCAAGGTGAGCTCTCGCTCTATCAACCTTGTGATACAAGTCGCTGACATCACGGGTAGTGCGACGGTGCCCTTCCGAGATGCCTCATGTGCGTCACGCGGCGCGAAGTCTGCACATACACGTACAGTATCCGTCACACCGTGACTGTGGCCGAGGGTGAAGAGGTCCCGCAGAAAGGCTCTGCCAATGATGTACTCGAATCATTGAAGACAATGCCGTACGACGAAGCATTGGAGTTGCTGCGAAAGCTACGGCAAGGGACTGGAAATACGCCATCTCCGATCGCGCCCCCATCCGAGGTGCAGCTGCTCAGAGGCATGCTTCCGCCGACGCCGAACATTCTCGAGTCTGAGTTGTCGATGCGGCATCATGTTGCATATCCAGCATTATCCCCGATTTCTTTCACTCCGGCGCTGGGAAACTTGCTCAGACCGTTGGCTGTGCGACAGTCTGGAAGGCAGGAGATGTAAGTGGTTTCCAGTCTGGTCATTTTGCCCACCCGGCACGATATGGCGTTTCGTCTTCTTGTTCTCAAGCCTTCAGCCGTAATTTGGTAGCATAGCTTTGTTGCCAAAGACGCACTAACAATCCTACCATAGATCACCGGCTAGGCAGTATCCTCTGATCAGGGATAGCGAAAGCAGCGTCTCGGGAGAGGAGATATTTACTCCGGACTCAGCCCCCACAGAGTTTGGCGACGAGTATGTATCGGAACCATTGTTTGATGAGCGGCTTGGAAGTGTCGATATTTCTTTCTGGACAGCAGTGTCAATACCAAACGATCTCGCAGTTCGCGTGTTATCTCATTATTTCGAAGTTGATCATCCTGTCTTTCCACTTTTCGACCAGGATCTGTTTCTGGATGATCTTGTGGAAAGGAGGATTCACTTTTGTTCGTCTTTTCTCGTCAACTCCTTGCTTTGCTGGGCATGCGTGAGTATCTAGTCTGTATTCCCAGATACAGATTGTGGTCAAATACTCACATCGTCTAGAAATCCTACACGCCCATCAGCCCCGACCCAGCAGAGTGGTCTCTCAGACTATTCTTACAAGCCCAGAAAGACCTCGCCAGCCAACAATCACAGAACACTTTGACAACAGTTTCTGGGTTACAGCTACTCGGTATTAGCGCCGTCACATACGGAAAGAACAATTTGAGTCTGCAATTCACGCGAAGGGGCGTTGAGCTTGGAAGGTCAATGGGATTGTTCGACGTCAAGGAAGAGAAGGATTCGGCCATGCAATGGCTACAAGGTCATGCCATCTGGACGCGGGCCGCATCATACACAGCTTGGGGGGTATTCAACTGGGTCTCGTTAGTAAGCCCCAGTCCGGCACCTGGTCATTATGAATCATTTGTTGACAATGACGGATCTCAATAGGCTATTGTCTTTACATTATCACACATGCGAAATTGGAACACCCCCCTTGCTTCCAAAACCACTGGCACTGCTGGCGGATGGACCGCTCGAGGGCGTCCCCAAAAACACCGCCCACCCGCTAGAGGTATTCGACGCCTCCAGTGTTTTATGGACCATCTGCCAAGATATGCTGTGTGGTTACTATGGCACAAAGAAACAAGGACCAAGAGGACAACGCCAGCTGGACTTTGCGGAGGGTATCTATCTCAGACTTCTTCAATGGGCCAACAACTTGCCCCCTAATGTTGTGAGGAATCAGGACAGCAACCACGACGTTATGATGATGCAGTTTGTCTACCCAGCCAACATCAGTTAATCACTTGCTGACAAACCTAGCATCTACTTCCACGCCATTGTGACGGACCTTTTCCGACCATTGACACCGCCCACTTGCAACCTCCGACTCAATTTGTTTTCTAGCCAGCACGCTACTCCTAAAGCGGTGTATGCCGCCTCAGTAAATCAACTTAAACGACTTTGTCTCCTATTCCGGCTCCGTTACAAGAAAGCCAGATTCTCCGGCTTATGGCAAACTGCCGTGATATACGTGGCAAACGCCATGATGCAAGAGGCGACTCAGTCAAAACCCCAACATCAGCGACCTGGAAGAGAGTGGCGCTTCTATTTAGACCTATGTCTAGCAGGGCTTACCGACCTTTGCGTGTCGTTCTCCACATCCGGTGCAATATCCCGGGCGGTGGTGGTTATGGCGCTTCAAAACGGAACTTTGAAGCCAGCAGAAGCGAATCGCGTACTGATCGAGCTAAAACGGCTGGAGATGGCACATGAAGAGGCTCGGTTAAAGTTGAATGGAAATACTGAAGCAACCTGGGTTGTTGACCTCAATCTAGCTTTGACCGACATCGAGGCTGCGCGAGGCCAGAGCTTAGTCCAGCGGTTCGAAAAGATGATGCTTTCTAGCGAGGTTCCCTACGATGATACAGGACTTACTATGGATCTCACGACCGAAGTGTCCAGTTAATGCTGAGGGTAATTGAATGATTGGACAAGGCAGGAAAAGGGGGGGGAGGAAAAGGAGGAGAAGATAGAAAATCACAGAAGGAAAAGAAGATAGAAAAACATAGAAAAAAGAAGAGGAAGAAAAGATCACGGCAAATCTCTCCGTAGCCGTAAAAGGAGTTCGCGTGATATGTCAAAGCCTTAGAGACGCCGCGGTTGAGACAAGACAGGCTAAAACGCGTCCGTCATGAGTGCTGGTGAAAGCATGTCCGAAAACGAAGACGTTCATATCATCGCCAAAGATGCATTCCCCTCACACAAATTTCACCATTTCATATTTAACGGTGTCATGAAACTAGCGCTGTGAGCAGCGATGTTGGTAGGATGACAAGAATAGGGGCATCAACAAAAGGTCCGCTGTTCGGGCGGATGCTGACAGCTGAGTGAGCGGATATTCAGCCCAACTAAAGCAGCTGGTATGCGAGTAACAAGAATGATAGTGATAGGAACAAAGGGGCAAGAAGGGCGACTGTGGCTAGTCCTCTGCCCGTGTGGCGTAAGTAATCAACAGTGTCCCTTCCAAGTCCACTCTGACTCCTCCTCCAGAAGTTGCGTCTTCGGCCGCGACTTAACCGAAATCCAATCATCCTCCACAACGTACTCTTTACTCTGGCCTTCTTTTAAAAGAAAGTTGAATCGCACATTCCGCCTAGGGAATTCGGTGTTCGCGAAATTGGCGCTGAAGTTCACGATTCGTTCTTTTTGAACCAATGCGGGATCGCTCTCCCTAATCTCGCTGATATCATCGTCCTCATCGAGCTTCATATCATCTAAGTTGACGTGGTGTTCCAACTCCATGATTCTCCTCCCCAGCACAATGGTCACATCCTCGCTCCATATATTGTCGTTGGGGCGATGCAGTTTGTTCATGAGCTTCCATGCCGCCAGCCTCAGCTCAAAGACGCGACACTTCATGACCACGAAAGCGAGTAAGGAAGTGAACCCCAGTTCAAGGGGGTGTCTCTCCGTTCCAGACCCTGGTCTTCGCTTTCCAGCTGAAGCTGTTGCTGCCGCTGCTGCGGGGACCGCAAGTTCGATTATCGTTCGGAACTTATCGATGTGTTCGTCGTAGGCGCGTTCATTTTTAGACCGACATGTTAGCAGCATAACCTTGCCAACCGTCCACCGCATCTCCAATAACCTGCAGATATCCCTCTCTTCGGGTCCTGCCGGGACATAGATGTATCCCGTGAAGTGACGAAGCCCTTCTAACCAAGCGTCCATATCTTCTACAATGTCCTGCTGGGTCCACTCTGTTCCTGGATCGGGACCGTTTCGCCCGGGCTCCAGACGTGGTTCAGTCAAACACCGCGCGAATCGTACGAGCCGTACCAGGACACAGACCAGCGATTGATGTGCTTCTGAAATATTGCGGAAATTGTATTTCGTGGCTGGCGCAGGCTTGCCTAGTGTTGGGAAGGAATGAGGATCGGCGCCGTATAGATATGGGACAATGCTCAGGTTCCGTATCGCCGGCTGGACATGATTTTTGATGAAGTCGGATTCGCTACGAACTTCGTTGAGAATGTTGATCCCATGTCGACAATGTTCAACTGCATCTTTGGAGTTCTTCCTAAGCAGCTCAACGCAGATGAAGAGGACACAGACGAACAGTATCAAAGCCCTGTCTGTCGTAGTTCGTAATAGTCTGATAGCCTCGTTGTAATGCCACACAGCGAACGCGCTACTTTGGTCGTCTGCACCACATGCAATGTCGAGGCGAGAGCGCTTCGTAAAAGTCTCGTATAACGAGCTGACGGCCATCATGGCGTGCTTCGCCACTGGTTCTTGGTTCGCAACCTGGGGAACGACGGTGATCCAGAAGTGCTTATTCAGTGATCCTCCAAGAGCCGGTGCGGCTACACGTTGAAAGAAGGATATGGCTCGCTTTTCGGCCGTCGTGCCACTGGTTAGCGCCGACTGCCCCAGGGCAACATCCGAGATGTTGCCTTGCAGGAGCTCATCCCAAGAGTACGTCCCCTTGGGAGGCGACGTGTAGCCATCACATTTCCGGCCTGTCGTCAAGCACCGATTGCAGAAAGGGCGGCTCTCGTCGCATTTTATTCTCCGTATCCTGTCAAAATAGAGTTTAGACGTTGTTCTAGGATGCGGTGCCGAGTACGACGGCGACTTACTTGCATGTTATGCAACCCGTTTTCACCTTCTGAATACCGGTTCGAGGCATGAATCACTTGCGTCGTTCTGGACCGGCAGAAACAAGAACTCATCTAGCGTGCTTGTCAATCCTCGTATTCGGCTTCGGACGATCTCGAGAGGCTAAGATCAATATGATCGACGGCATGTGTCAAGGCCAGATCTGTGGGGACACGCCCTTAAGTACCGGCGGGCAGAAATGACACGACGCTCAGACGAACGTGACAGATGATCCAGGTTTGCGTCAAAATTCAAGCTTGTTCCGATTCGAGCACGTCCATGCTGAGACTTGAGTTTTCGCGACATCAGATGCCGCGGGGCGTTTCCGATCAGGCCAATCACGATGCGCAGGCGGCACTTCTCAGCCTTGAGGTGACGGTTTGTTGCCGTTATCCGTCCGCATTTGTGGGTGTCTCCGGCACAGGAGTGGTTGTCTTGCAGTTGAAGGTTTGATGACAACTCAAATGTTTCCTGGGGTAGACGGGCCGTCTCTCCGCCACTAGAATTATTGAATCGTTGTTGCTGTCGCTACTGCAATCTACATTTATCAGCCGGCCTATCTTGCAATAGCTATAATCTACGCCGCTGACCTGGTGTGTGATTTGTTGTTTCGTAGGTTGTTCATATTGGTTAAGCAATTCTCATATTGGTAATTCTATCTGCCCTTATAGCTATGTGTGATTCCTGTCTGTTTTTCACATCTCTGATCCATGCCATTGTTGATTGTCTTTCTCGTGACCCCACCTGCCAAAATGTCTTCATCATCTCTCACAGCAAATAAACCCCATGTTAATCTTCAAGAAAGCCTCTTGAGCGGAGCTCGCCGTCTCAACCATGGGCTCTCTCTTCGCCGTCATCATACGGCTCTCCGAAGGCTTTTGCCCACAACGCCTTTCGTCTGTCGTCAAAATCGATTCCCATCAGTCGATCTTTGAAGAGAAACCGCCAAATGGAGGCAAACTTGTTTGCGTGCTGCAACTTTCGGACGGCGTCATGCAGACTGCCCGTGTTCGGAAGCATACCGAGGTATGTGATGTTGCTGATCGCCATTCCAACGTCCAAATCGTTCTGGATGATAGCACGGTGTCCCTCACCAAGAGTGCCGGGATAGTCGATGTCTAGCAGCACACAGCATGGCTTGATGATGTGTCTTATGAACGCGGCTTCGCCTTGCTGATCTCCCTGACAGTATTGAGCTAACCTGTTCATAGCCGCCTCCAATGGTTGACCGGTATCCTGGATGAGCTCGACAATTCTTGATCTCGTGGTGTGCTCATGGAGTGGGTAGATGGCGAGCTTGAAAGACATCATACATCGAGGAACATTGTTCGAATTCTCCAGGTCTACCACCAACCGTTGCAGAATGGCTTTGTCTCGTTGGAGGAGGAGATCTGCCTGAGCCGCAGCGTCGGCTGCGACTAATTGGCTAAGGCTGATTGCCGGAAGTAAAGTCTTGGTTGACTCGATTTCGTTTTCAATGCCCTCCCAGACCAGTCCAGTGTCCTCGAGACGCACATTTGGGGTTATGAAACCCTTCTCTTGCGCGATCCTAAACTGGATAACGAGTTGCTTGGAGAATTCCACGGCAGGCTGTTCTGGCACTTCAGGCGACAGCGGTTGCTCCGGTTGCGTGGACTCCTGCTTCAGTCTCTGCTCGTGACCGTGATTGGGTGTGGGCGTGGTGGAAGGTGTTCGTAACTGGCCTGTGCTGCTGTTGTACGTAGATCTGATAGCATCGCGCCATGGCGCGCGAACAGCCGTTCTGGGAGCAGACCAAAGCTGCGGACCTCCGTCTGCGAGGTAACGCTTCAAAGCGTTGTTTGTGAAGTAGGCTGGGCCGCTGTAATTCTGGGCCCAAGATCGCTCATTGACGACGGAAGGAGTGGCCCAAGTCTTGTGGACAACAACATCGCGGATTACCAGTCCGCAGTTCTTTTTCATCTCGTTCCGGTAGTCTGGCAGCCCGATCGAGTGGATGTCGGGGAGCATTAGGCTGGCGGTCGTTGATTCGCCCCTGGGAGCTCGGCATCCACGGTTCGTTGGCATGGGCAGTGTCGATCCTTCAAAGGAGGGCGGCACGATCTCCATCCAATCTACATCCTCCAAATTCAAAGTTGAGAACAGCTCGAGGATTTTCTTTTCATCGATATCGCTTGCTGTGATTCGAAAAGCTTCGTTGTATGCCGAATCTCGGGCGTAGGTTGATGAAGCGAATCGGAAGATATGGCCGTAAACAGCCAGGCTGTTGTCTTCGTGAAGTCTGAAGAAGTGCGGCGAGTACAGAATGAATACGGCAAGCGAAGGCGGCGGTACGGTCTTTTTGGCCTGGCCATCCGAGGGATCCGTTCCCGGCTTGATCGTACACAGCTCCGGCTGGTGTCCTGGGGCTAAAGACAGCCTGGCCCAGACTAAGGCCATCGATACAGCGAAAGTTAGCTCCACAAGGTCCTTGTTGTACTTCTCGAGAAAGCCTGCAACCTCATTCGTGAAGTCCTGCGGTATGACGATGTTCGCCAGCTTTGGCATAAGCATTCGGAAACCTGTCCAGCTCTCAGGGGCTGTGCTGGGTAACATGGCATAATCAGTCTGTGCGGATGCGTTGTTGACCAAAACAGAGCAAATGCGGCCATTTTGGAAATCTTCTGTTGACTCTGTTCTGTAAGCCATGAAGTCATTCAGAGAGATTTGACGAAACTCGTCACGGTCATCAGGGGAAAGCTCTCGCTGAAACCTCACGGCAGCCAATCGCTTGAGGAATGTCATCTGGTTCGGCCGAAGCATGTCGCAAGGAGGAATCACGAAATATCCTGTCCGCCTGGAACCTCCGAGTGCAAACATGGCACCGCCGTAGTCATTGACTGTGTCATTTCTGTCTCCGGCACGAAGAAAAACTGGAGAAAAATCGGATCCGTCGATGCCAACATAGTACTCATTATGAGCGTATTGTCTGGAGCTGACGACCGTGTAGCGACGACAGGCGCGGTTGAGCAAAGGAAGAATCATCAAGCTTCTGATGTCATGAATAGCTTCGACCCGGCGCGCAACACCAGCCGGCTTTGTATCGTGTAGTCGGTTGTTGCACCGCCATTTGGTGCTGGTGAACTCCATCATCTGCGGCAACTTCGTGGCAACTCTCTGTCGCTTGTTGCTTCTGTCGGCGGCAGAACTACTCGCCCCTTCTTCATCCATCGTGTTGGACTTGCGGGGGGTGAATGCGAATCGGTTGACAGAAGATCCAATCGTAAGGCGACGTTGCAAAGCTGTAGTAAACGGGTCAGCATACAGGAGGAACGAGCGAAAGACTCTTGTGACACACTTTCTGAAATGTAGCAAAAATGGAGGAGCGGTCCAACTGAGGGTATTCTGAAACTGTCTGGAAAGATTCAAAGGCCGTGAAGGAGGCGCAGGAGTACTCGGGCGGCAATGGCCGTGGCAGGGCAGCGGAGACGTGGAGTAGCGAAGCAGGCCAAAAAGTGATTCGGCGGGCGCAAAGGAATGAGGTCGAGATCCAGGATGAGACTCGAGCAAAATTTGTGCTGCGCAAGGTCTGTGGCGAGGGAACGAGGGCGCAAAGTTTGGTGAAGTCGCCGGAAAGAGTTGGGTAAGGCCGAGTAGGATGAGAAGGAAATGGTCGGCGGCCTGGCAGTCAACAGTCGGTGGATGTTGAAAGGCCAGCCAGTAGGGGAGGCAAACCAGGTGCGAAAGGCCAGGAAGGTTTGGTAGCAGGCAAGATGGCGAGAGAGAAAGATGCAAACTTCAAAGCCAAGGTGAAGTTGTGACCGCCTGGTCTTTTTCGCGAGGCAGGAACGATCGAGCCTGTTTGGTTGCAAGGAGAGGTTTGATGCGGCAGCTTAGCTGAGGTCAAAAAGGCGAAGACGGAATTTGGGGAGTGGGAGAATTGAGCGTGACAGCCGGGGAGGTTTCTGGCCTGAAGATTTGCGGAAGCACAGGAAGGAGCGAAGAAGGGTCAATTCGGCCAGGATCTGGTCCAAGTTCACAGAACAATTTGCTTTGAAGTCGAATGCTCGAAGGAAATGGTTTTCAAATACAATAATGCTAGCATTCAAACTCGGGGGTATCTATCTGAACACACGGCTCTCAATCCTTTGTCCAGAAATTCTAACATGTGCCAACCCCGCGATGTCGAATCGCAAAGAAGTATAACTCAGTTCTCTTGTCTCATTACCTCATCCAAGAGGATCTTTCCACGAACGTCCTCTTCATTCATCTGCGTACGGTTTTCCGAATAGCTCTGTCCACCGCAACTCCCGCTCGCCCACGCCGTAGTCAGTTCCCTCAAGGCGGTCCTTGAAGAAATGGAACCGCAACACATAGAGCAAGCTTTTTGAGGATCGCAGCCTGACGACGGCGTCTGCGAGTCTCTCGGAATTGACCGGAGACAGTGCGTATATCGCCGAAAGCTCATGAATGGAATTGACGAGGGGCTGGTCCAACTTGCCGATCTCATCTAGGGCCGCGAGATCGTCCTCTGGCCACGTAATACCGAGGAGAAAGCAACAAGGCTTGATAACCTGCCCCGACAACCCGCTTCCTTCCAGCTTGATACCTTCACCATACTCCTTGATCTTCTGCACTTCTTTATCGATCGGAACCAGGCCCAGGTTAATGTTGCTGATGACGGACATGTTTGAGAGGCGCGCGTCATCCACGTCGATGTATCTGAGAAGACGCAATAGCGGAGGTACATGTTTGTCGTCCGCTAAGTCTTCCATGAGTAGTCTTCGAAGAATGCGTCGATCTTTGTCGCTGATGAGGTCAGTTTGAGCGGTCGCGTCACGCACAGCAGCCGGTTGTATGGTGCGGTCGGAACGTCTTCTGCGAGGATTCTCGTCCCCTTCGAGAACTATGTCTCCAATTTCGTCCACATCTTCAATGTTGCGGACGGCTGAGCTGACGGCGTTTTGTTGGCCATCGCTGTGGCCGCTTTCAGTTTCCTCTCCTCCCAGCTGTTCGTGCTCGTGCTCGTCCATACCAGGCTCCTCGTCACCAAGTAGCTCTCTTGCAGGTTCATCTGCTCGAAAGTCTTGCGGGCCGACGGGAATCATGTCTGTATCCTCGGCCCCATCACTTCTGTGCTCTTCTTCTGCCAATTCATCGAATGACTCGCCGTCTGAGGAAAGGTCGGATGGTTGCCCCTCCCAGCTCGCAATCTTCACACAATCCTTCCACGGCCTCCGGACTGCAGTCTTGGGCGCAGTCCACAGATGTGTGATTTTGAAGTTTTCGTTCCACGCATCTAGGGCGCCGTGAGGAAGATAGGACGTGCCATTCACGTACACCAGAGATCCGAAATTCTTGCTAGGACTGGTAGGCGTTTCGTCCAAGTAACGCCATGCAGCGACGGAACATACATGCTGTGGCACCCAGTCAACGTGTATCTGAAGGTCTCTTGTCGTCCATACCTTCCCATGAGACTCATGTCCACGAGGAAAGCTGTAGCTGTCTGCGTTGGTGTAGTTGTAGAAACCCAGAGTGTTGATGTCGTCCAGCAAAAGCGCGGCGGTGGTCTCGTCGGACTGCAATGCTCGAGGTCCGTGATTCGCTGGCATGGTTAGTCGAGACCCATGCCACGAGGGTGGAACGATTTCGATCCAATCGTCGTGCTGCAGATTCATTTGCGAAACAACACGCTTCACCAAGCTTTCGTCGATGCCCTTCCTATTGATCCGGAACTGAGCACTCAGCTTTACGTCTCTGGAATGCATATGTTGAACATATCTGAAAATATGCATGTACGCAGAGAGCCCGTAGTACTCGTGGAAGCGAAAGAAGTGAGGCGCATAGAGAAGGAAGGAAGCTAACGGTGGTACGGTGACCTTTTTCTCTAGGCCTGCTTTGGGGTTGGGGTTGTTGAAAGCTTCCAGTTCCGCACCGTGATGCGGATCAGTCGTGTATCGATGCCATACAATGCACATGGAGATGGCCAGGTTGAGCGAGAGGAGGTCGAGACAGTATTTCTTTTTCGACTGAAATTGGAAGACTGCTTCGCCAAGCTCCTTCGGGACGTTCAGACGACCAATTTTTGGCATCATCATGCGGAAGTACATCCAGTTGTCGGGCTTCATCTTTTCGAGGACAGCATAGTCCGTCGGCAAATCTGGGCGTTCGACCAAAACTGGACATGGGAGGCCAGCTTTCAAAGCCTGGTTTTGCCGTTCGAGGAATTTTTCGCACGCGGTAGCTTCTGTTCCGCCCGATTCTCGTCCAACATGGCGCCGAGCTTTGATATGAGACAATGCTCCCGTACGAAGGATGTCACAAGGTGGGACAATGCACCTGGCTCTTCTTTCACTGCTGGCTTGTTTGAAACCTCGGTTTTCGTAGCTGTCGTTTTGGTCGGCAATATTGGAGTTGTATGTGGTCCTGGTGGCGTCGAAGAACGCAGGTCTCATTTCCCAGCTATCGAAACCAACGTAGTAAGAGTAAGTGTTGGGTCTGTCGATTCCGGGTCTCTCGTATCGCTTGTCGTTTTCGTAAAGAACTCGCGCTCGGTTCATCAATCGGATGGTGACAAACTGTCCACCGTCGTTCAATTCCCAGACTGGCACTGGATCCGATCTGTTTCCTGAAGGCGTTGGCTCTGAGCTTGATGAACGTACTTCATTTCCGACTTTCCAGCGCTTGGTGACCAGTTCCATTTCTCTTGGCAAGGCGGTGTTGTAACGTTGTCTTTTCCGAGGTTCGACTTGAGCTGAGGCATTTTCGTTTCCGGGGGGAGACCGTAATCTCTTGTGATTGCTGGCAGCAGCATCTCTGCTGCTGCCCTCTTGGTTCACCATGGTGACAGTTGGGAGTCTCAGCTCAAGAACTGAAAATTTTCACTGCGAAGAGAAATGTGTCAAACTGAGGTTTGGGAAGATGGACACCAAATCGCCGCTTACCTGTGTTAGTTGGTGAGATGCCGGAAGCGAGCGGGCTTTGAAGAACACTCCGAAGATGGCGGGACAGCGAATGAGACGCGGTACGACGTCAGAATGCGAAGAAGAATTGTAGAAGCGGGAATGGAGAGGCGCGAGTCAGAATGTTTGCAAAAACAAATCGACCGTATTATCGTCTGTTCGAAGGGTTCAAGGCGGAAGGGGAAATGGAATCCGGATATCGTGGGAGCGCAGCCGAAGGAGTGATGCCCAGGTCAGACACGAGGGATCGAAAAGTTTGAGGCAGTCAACGGAAAACGGAAGTTATGGTTGAAGAAAAAGAGAGAGCGGCCGGGTTGCGCAAACGCAGAAGGAAAGGTGCTAGGCGTTGGAGCCGCGTTGTTTGTCTTTGCAAGGTAAGGTATGGAGACAAACAAACAAATTTACCTGCGAGAGCCTAGCGGTGAAGAAACAAAAGGCTGAAGGGGAGCGGTCCTTCTGAGGTGAATGGGACAATGGGGTGAGAAATCTCGCAAAGGAAGGCAGGACCAAAACGAACATCAGTGGTCCGAACACTGGCGACTTGACTGCCTTTGACGGACCGGGCAGCTCTGGAATCTTCTCTGTTGGCGCTTCAGCAGCTCTCTTGCAAATGGAAAATCATTCTGTTTCCATTGATGGATATCCAACAACCGACTGATGCCATCGCGAACACCCTCACCACCAACCTCACCACTCCCCCCGTCAACTACTCCCTCAATACATCGCCCTCCAAACCGCAAACCCAGCACAAACAAGCCCACTGCCCAAATGCACCCACCTCTTCCCCTGCAGCTCCCTCCCGCCCATGCTCCGCACAACCCACCAGTCCACCATGCCCACCAGCGCCGTCGTCGCCCACAGCATCGTCACCGCGTCCTCGTTGCCGCTGCCCTCCTGGTACGTCTCGAGCAAGATAAACAACAGCCCCGTCGCGAGGTCACGCCCGGCTTTCGCGTAGCTGAACGGCTCCGCCGGCTGTTCGGGGGACAGCGGCCGCGCGATGCCGAAGGCGTCGTAGACGGCGAGCGGCTTGACGAAGCCGAGGAGCCCGACGAAGGTTAGCCCGGTGCCGAGTATGTAGTTTGGGAGCGGGGAGAAGGGGGAGATCATCTTGTCGAAGTTCTTTGTCTGTAAATCTGGAGGGGCGCTTCTCTCTTTCAATTGATGATGTTGGACCGTTTGCTGGTTCTGGGACTGTTTCTGGAAGCAATGGAAAATAACTGGAAACACAGCTCCGTATCATCATGACGAGAAAGAGGAGACATGCTTTAAGTACGCCATCATCCGAACCCTTGGGGTTAGAAAACGGTCACACGTCCGCGCCCGGGTTGCCCGCACGGCGGACTCGAGCTCTTACCCAAGCATTTTTGATGCGGCACTCCGATGCGAGCGCGGGGTTGAGGAGGTACGAGCTTCACTATCATACCTCGACGAATAATACCTGCCCTCCCAATGCCATGCTCAATAACAGCTTGGAGCGTGAAGTTTAAGCAGGTTGCATCTCAGACGAACGAGCACCTAAAGCTTCCCCCATCTTCCACATCTAAAAGACGCGCTGTGTTCGGGAGCCGGCACCGACGCGGTCATCCGAAGATTTACACTCGCGCGCAAACAAAAAGCTTCATGCGACAGCTCACCATTCACCAGCTTCGAATTACACATCTCGTCGAGGTCAAAATTGGCTGCAAATCAGGACCAACGGAGTTCTCATCCGCAGCACACCCCTGAGATCTTATCTTAGCTCTGCAGGCAGCACCCTTTAGCGGGCGAGCTAAACCGCAAAGAACCAGGATGCCGATCCTCCAAAACATACAACTTTCCCATCCCCCAAGTCGCCACCGCCGAATCCTCCTCGTGATGGCTTCTCCTTTTCGTGTCCCGCGAGGAGAGCGAATGTCGCTCGTCCCCTCGCTTCGTCGTCCATAACCCCTCCGCCATCGCCATTCATTCATTAGAAGCCCAGCGATCGCACGTCTTTCGTTGACGCGAGAAAAATGCTCGGCGTCGCGATCCTCGCCATCGCCGGCGTGGCCAGCGCAGCCAACGTGACCGTCCCCTCTACGATATCCGCGGGCGTCGAGACGCAAATCACAATCGGCTTCGACTCCTGGAAGCAGCCCTTCGTCTACGAGACGGCACCCGGTTCAGTGTGGAACGACCCCGTCGCCGTGTGCAGGAACCCGGCGGACGAGCAGGTCGGGTGCGGCCACGATGCGCTCTACGAGCATTACCAGTTGTACCTCTACAACAATGAGTGGATGCAGTTCTGTGAGTCGCGACGCCCACACCTACTATCCTCACCAGCTAACATTGGCTGCTCGCAGGCTACCTCAGCGACTTCATCCCCGTCGGAACCACGAACCCCAAGATCACGATCCCGAAAGACCTGGGACCGAGCGAAAAGTACCAGATCATGATTGCAGAGTTCAACGGCTCGCGACCCGTGACAAACTTCTACGGCGTCAACACGTCCAACGCCTTCACCCTCAAAGACACGGACATCGACGCGTGGACGACGTGGGAGTACTACGGCGGCTACGTCAAGCCGTGGTCCGCCCTCCCCTGCTCGTCGTATTCCTGCTTCCGCACCTGCGGGCTCAAGTTCTCCGATGGCAAAGGCAACAAGCGAGCCGGCACCGCGGCCGCGCTCTACGACTGCTTCAACGAGTGCCGCGGCATCCGCGCGGATTGGAACGACCACGATAACCCGTGGGATTGGTATAAAGCGTTCGACGGGCACGATTGGTCGGGCGCGACGACGGCCGTGACGACGAGCACGCCGAGCGCGATCAGCACGTCTGGATGGGGATACCAGACGCCGGATGTGCGGGAGACGACGTTGTACGGCACGCCGACCGCCGGGCCGACGTATGCGATGCGGACGAGCGTGAGGGCCACGGCGACGACGGCGGCGGCGGCTTCGAGGGGGAAGCGCAAGGCGCAGCCGGTTCAGGCCGGCGGAGGCATCTTCGGGACGGTGATCATTTGTCTGGGGCTCTTCGCTGTGGGAACATTGGTTGGGTGGATCTGGCCCGACGGATTGAGATCGTCTTGGTAGTTCGCCGCGTCTTCAGATACCCAGACAGTAGTCAGCGAATTTTCGAATTAGCATCATACCTCTTGATAATAGCGTGCTGCGGTGCGGCGTCTGTCGGGGTATTGCGATGAAGCTCAGAGACCGAGCGGATCTCATTAGCTAAGAGCTAGATAACACCGCCTGCACCCCGCACGACCTCAACGCATCAGCTGGCATCCCAGGAACGCCCGGTCGCGCTTTGTTGCGGGGGCCGGATCAGACCGACGTGTCGTGGACGGTAATTCTCGGCCCAGTGGACCGACCGACAGGGAGCGAAAGGGAGCGAAAGGGAGCCATTGGTGTTTGTTGTGTTGACATGGAGTCGTTTTGGGGACCGGTGAGTGATGAAAAATGAAAGCGTCTTGCCGGCAACAGACGGGACGCCGGCAGAACAAGATGGCAACTCTGAAATGCTTAAAGCTCGTCTCTGCAGCCACGATTGATCTTGCACGACACCCGCTGCTTATCTGTCTTGTCTCCCTCCGTCTGCGGGCGACGGCCACCACCTGCAATGAGCCGATCCCAAGCGCCCTATGAAACCCGTCCCTGAACCGATTGCGGGGTTGGCCTGCCGCAGGGCGCGATGCTCCCTATCCAACCTGGGGAACAAGCTTAGGCCGGTGGCCGGTCTGTGAAATCATCCTAGTCGGAGCTATAAGTTGTCTTTGTCGCCCGTCACGAGGAACGTGAACCTAATTTGACTTCAGTCATCTCATCAAATCCAAAAGATATCTTGCTTCTCCTTTCTTGTGTCAACCTTCTTCAGTCAAGGCACGTCATCGCCATCACACCCTCCATCGAGCGGAGCTGGAGCCAACGTGCCCCCAACTCGCCAAGCCTGTTGAGGTGGTTGATAACACTCTCAAGTAACACCCACTGTGATTTGATACCCCGCCCTCCCCTCCCTCATCGCCTATTGCCGCGCTTCACCATGCCCTTCAGACATTTGCCGGTGCCCATGACACGCTGCCTGCGCGGCGTCGGGCCTGCAGGTGGGAGAGCAGGGGGAATAGCCCGGCTGAAGCACACTCTGGGTGCCGGCCCAGCCGTTGTCGGCCATGGTCGTCAACTTGCCGGTTTCTCATCCGCTGCCCCACTGAACCGAGGCGGGGGATCAACATCATCGGCCTTTGATACTCGTATAAGACCCGCGCCCCGGCCCGCTATCGAGGATGAGTTCAAGGCCACCATCGAGCAAGCCAGGAATCTTTCTTCACAATCGACCGAAATGTACACCGCGTCATTTGCATTTTTCGAGGCGTTATGGGACGCCGGCGTCACCCACTGCTTCGTGAACCTGGGTTCTGACCACCCCAGTATCATTGAAGCCATGGTTAAGGGTCAGAGGGAGAGGAAAGGCAACTTTCCAAGAATCATCACATGCCCTAATGAAGTAAATCTCCTTGTTCTTGCGTTGAAGCGACTGTACTGACAATGGCTAGATGGTGGCCATGTCGATGGCTGACGGCTATGCTCGTCTCACTGGAAAGCCGCAATGTGTCATCGTCCACGTTGATGTAGGAACTCAGGGTCTCGGCGCTGCGGTACACAACTCTTCGTGCGGTCGCGCGCCGGTCCTCGTGTTTGCGGGTCTGTCTCCGTTCACGCTAGAAGGCGAACTAAGAGGCAGCCGCACCGAATACATCCACTGGATCCAAGACGTCCCGGACCAGAAGCAAATCGTGTCACAGTACACCCGCTACTCGGGTGAGCTCAAGACAGGTA